GTGGTTTCAATAAACATTCATCTGGACATGACAACAATAAAAGCTCAGGAGTTTCATTTGTTATCAGTGTACTGGAGATGTATTGCCCAGAAACGTAATTGTTAGGCCAACCATTCAGTTCCGTCCCGTATCTTACCACAAATACATCTCTACTCTTAGAAGCTATTGATAAGGCTGCATCCCGCACCACATCATGCATCCTGACACACCCTTCCTTGTTGCTGTCTACCAACAAAAAAGAACTTTTGAGTATGCCAACCAATGTTTCTACACTGTTTCTTCCTTCTACCATTGAGTGGATGCTTTTGAACAACTTAAGCCCGCACCCATATCTAACCAAATCTTCAATTGGTATATTACAACCTTCGGGATATAAACAACAGAGCAAGAAACATGCTTTGGCCTCATGGCTTTCTAAACATTCGTAACTCAACTCTATTTTGGGATACACTTCTTGTATCATTCCTGGAATGTTTTCTGGGCAAGCCCTTGTTAGTTGTCTAAGTGCATCGTTCCACACATTCTTGCTTTTATGTTTTAGTGCCCTTCCAACAGTCGTAATTGCAATTGGCAGACCAGCGCATTTACTCATAACTTCATGTGCTACGAAATATAGCTCAGGAGATTCAATGGAACTGCCTGCCATCTCCTTAAATAGATCCCATGCTTCTTGTTCTGTCAAAACATCGATAGGAAAATTCTTCTTGGTTTCCATATCATTGAATATATCCTGGTTTCTTGATGTTACCAAGAATTTGCAACTCATTTTATCACAGTGAAATGGAATTCCAACTGTCTTCAAATTTACTTGTGTAGAAACATTGTCCAATATTACAAGGACCCTCTTAGTACCTGATAATCTTCTGTGTAACTTATCTGCTCTTCCACGTAAACCCTTTTCTGTAAGTTCTAGACCAAGAAACTCTGCAATTTCATCTTGAATACGACTCAAGTCAGCGGTTTGGGTGAAAACTGCCATTGTAACCTCGTCGAATAGACCGTCTGCTTTTGCTCTCTTACCAACTTCTTCCACCAAGGTTGTCTTGCCTATACCGCCCATTCCACATAGTACAACCGGATTGATTTGATCATCTGTTAGAGCATGCATTACATCTGTGATGATTGAATTGTTTCTTGATTCAAAGTCATTAGATCCTCCCACAGATGGATACACCCATGACCATTTGAAATTGCTTTGAGTTCTCATGTCACTGAAAACATTTGGGAGTTGTGACATCCATATGATCTTGCATCTCCTTTTGCTATCAACATCAACACAAGGTATTCCAAATTCCTCCAAATTAAGTGTTTTGCTTACATCAGCCAATATTATGAGGTACCTCTTAGAATCAGCTGACATTCTAGCACGCAGCATCTCTGCTCGTTCAACCAAACTCTCGCTTTCCAAATTCAGTCCTAACATTTCTGCTATTTCTCCTTGCATCCGTTTTAAGTCTGGATTTGGGGACACAACAGTCATCATAACACCTTCAAATAGATCCTGTTCTTTGACTCTCTGTATGAACTCTTCTGTTGTAACTATTTCTTCTCCTTCCATGTTTATCCCACTAATTCCAATCATGTT